AACAAAATCCCGTTTATGTTGCCTTTTATAAGCGATGAAGTAAGCGCAGCTATAAAACGATGCTTAAGAAGGGCAGGTCTAGAGGAATCGGTAGCGATAGTTGAAATACCACCGACTACTCTACGTCGCCAATTAGTTCGCAACCGCCTGTATGACCGTCTGTGTGAAACAACAAATTGCGTAATTTGCCCTTACGGCAGGGACGGTGATTGCATGAGTTCAGGTACGATATACCTGATCTCGTGTAACAATTGCGGAGATGAATATATTGGCGAAACGGGCAGACCTTTGTGTATCCGTATAAAAGAACACCTAGATGGCAAACGAAAACAAGACGAAGCACCCCACTAGGCACGCATAGGATACAAAAGCATAGCGGAGACGATTTTGAAGTGAANCTCCAATGGCTACGAAATAGTAACCCCACGAGATAAGTTTACAAGGAGAACGACGCGCTCACGCGAAACACTTGGCCAAAACAAAATCCCGTTTATGTTGCCTTTTATAAGCGATGAAGTAAGCGCAGCTATAAAACGATGCTTAAGAAGGGCAGGTCTAGAGGAATCGGTAGCGATAGTTGAAATACCACCGACTACTCTACGTCGCCAATTAGTTCGCAACCGCCTGTATGACCGTCTGTGTGAAACAACAAATTGCGTAATTTGCCCTTACGGCAGGGACGGTGATTGCATGAGTTCAGGTACGATATACCTGATCTCGTGTAACAATTGCGGAGATGAATATATTGGCGAAACGGGCAGACCTTTGTGTATCCGTATAAAAGAACACCTAGATGGCAAACGAAAACAAGACGAAGCACCCCACTAGGCACGCATAGGATACAAAAGCATAGCGGAGACGATTTTGAAGTAAAAGTCAATATCCTTGCACGGGAGACTAAAACACCAGCGCGAAAACTCCTTGAGGCTTTTTGGATCAATGCCAAAAACCCTACAATGAATAGTAGGGATGAATGCCCGGAGGTCATACGCGACCTGATCCCGTACGTTCGCATCGATTTTTGATGTGGGATGGTGCAGTCGTCAACCACATGCGACTATAATCAGCTGTTCTAAACTTCCTCATTGGAAGTAACGAAAAAGCGGTGGGTTTTTTCGAGAAGTTCTTGATCATGTAATTAGCAGAGAGTTTTTCGTCTTTTTGTAAGTGTTATTGAAGCGTTTGGCCTAGTAGATTGTATGTCAGTATACCCTTCCAGGTTCTGAAGAAGGCGATACTGTCGAAACGTCAGCTAGCGTTGTATTGTATTGTGTTTTTATGGAAGTAAATGTATGCTGTTTAAAAACCTCGCGATTGCTGAACAAGAAAACGACACATTCATATTCCAATGCCGAGGTTAAGAGAAAGTCGATCCTGGGAACTATTAAAAGTTGCAGTTGTTCAACGCCACGACAAGAAAAGTTAATTCTGAGGTGGATCGCACTCACAGCATTATTAGGTGACTACGTTTGTCCCTGTGGATTTTTTCTTTATTTCATGTGCCATAGCCACAGTTTTTGATGATGAAACACTGAACTCGGATTCTAGTAATTAGTTCCAACTAGGCAAAACTAGAAAGGCAATGGAACTTCGTGCGAAAGTCTATCTTAATTCGACGGCTCGGACTTTGTTGAGTAAGTGTTATTAAAGGGTTCAATCGTTTTGTTTTCTGCAAATGCCTGTATCTATGTATGGCTTGTTTTCAAGGACTGTTTGCGAAGAGCTCTAAGAGTCACAAAGCAACTCCAATCCTCTCAAGAAAAGGGCTGCAATGGAAAGAAAAAGAAGGAAAGAGAGACAACTTTGTTTTTCCGGAAGTTGTAAAGGAAGGAAGGGATCGGAATTATTTATTTTATTGCAGTCGATTTGCACTTGCGTGTCTTACCTATCCTGATAAATTGGTTTTTTGTAAAAAAAAAAAGACAGATTCAAGTGCAGCCATTGTGAAAATAATGCAGATTAGTTCAAAAAAGCGCTTTTGAAGAGGAAAAAACGCTGACGAAACTATTTCTTCTTAAAACTAAAGTGGATGACGAGTGTATGAATTGACAGCAATGAAAACATAAGCTGGTCATGGATGGCTAGCAATGAGACCTCACGAAGCGAAAGTAGGGGTTTCCAAAGAATGTGAAATTTCAATTTGATTGTTCCCAACTAGTTTCGTTTCTCTTTCTGTTTTTGTCTGGACGATGTCTCCCCTATGTTGTGAGTATTTCGTGAACAGGTGCACTTCACGCATGATCAGCCTATGACCCAGGGTTTTATTTGACGACGGTGCGGGCGTCTGCTCACGATGAACCCTCAACGACTGTCGACAGACAGCAAACAATTCACCGTAATGGTACCACATCATCAATCTCTTCGGTACTTTTCTGTGAGATGCACAGTGGTACGGCCCTGAATTGAAATGTCAATCACTTCTTCAACGTTTTTCCACTACAACCAAAGCACAAGCGCGTGCGATTCACGCTGGTCATTTGAGAGAGTACCCCATCGACTTTTCAATTGGTTTTTCTGCTTCGACTGCTTTTTTCTCGTTTGTTTCCTTTTCCGAAATGTTATTGGGTGTAGATTTTACTACTGAATGCAATGAGCTTGGTCTGCCAGGAATTTCCTCGAGATCAATTTGAAACTAATTCAACACATCCGGGCAGACAAGCATGAAGGTGAACTTCTTGCGTCATCTTAAGCATATGTGCAATTTTCAAACGCTGCACTTTCAGCTTTAAATTTCATCGAGAGTAAGATTTTGAAAAAAACAAAGAACGTTGAAATTTCAAAGATTTCCCACGCATGCTCCACAACTGCATTAAGCAATGATGCATTGACACGAACACGTTGCATCCTGATGGATAATATCCCGCTTTTTCGATTGGTTTCGAGATCGACACATGAGAATGGGCGAAAAAAAAATAATTCGGTTGATTGCTGTTGGCAGAGATCAATAAAACTAGCTGAGAGACAGGTGAAACGGAGGACTCGCATGGTGTGGTGGTGAACGCGTTACTCCCGGAAAGGACAATAGCGCGTTCGTTCCACACCGCAGACACCTGCGGTCCGGAGTTTTGCAAATATCTCAGCATCATTGAAGTTAGAACAATGCGTTTTATGGTCTTCAGGAAATCAGAATGTCGCCTTGAAAGGAAAACGGGATGGTTTGGTTTACAACGTTGAGTTTTTTTCACTTCAATCATTGACGAAGTTAACAATGATCTGAAACGTGTCAAATAAAACATGAAAGTGGCCATAGCTTTCGCACTGAATTGTCGTGCATAGTGGGCGTTATTTGTTGACGCAATGGTGTTAGAATTATGTCTGAGCAAGCTCAAATTTACACTAAATAGATGTCGTTGTCAAGTGTTTCATCGCTCACTAAAGGCTTCCCATTCCAGGTTTGCAATTCTAACGAAAACCGCTTTCGATCTATGAGGTACTTTATTTACTTTCATAAAGTAACATTGTTTACCACTTTTGAAAAATTTATATATTTCAAGGTTCCACTGATTGTTTAGTTGCCAATGTAGTGGGTAGTGTAGTAGTATCAGTGCCGTTCTTTATGCTGATCGGCCAACCTTGCCAGACCATTAGTTTGACCTCGCAACGAGCCCACAACGCCTCTCATCCTTCCAGAGTTGCGAAATTGGTACCAGCGTTCTCTGCGAGAAGCTGACACCCTCTATTTTACTGGGTGCGTCCTTTCACGGGCATCTCAGGACTTCTATGGGAATTCACTTGACCATCATTCAACGATGTTCATAACAGGTAATCGTCAAGCAGCAGCAGAACCCAAAAGCTATCGAAGACTTTCGTATGGGGTGGATGTGCGAAAACGAATTGAATATGAGAACTGCTGGGATTCGCACCTTGTGGAACATCCGCTATCGGTTATGTAATAAATAAGTAAATAAACAAATAAATAAATAAATAAATAGATAAGCAGGTTGATTATTTGAAACTCTACCAAAAACGAGGACGTGAGTGGTGAAGCTTCTCACTTTTCGTTATTACGCTAAACAACCTCTGTGTGAATAGTCACCTTCCATCGTTTTGTTGTTTATTTCTTCTGACTTGCCAAATTACGATAAGTTGCAGAATTTCATTCTACAGCCGTATCTCTCAAGATCGGGCTTTCCCTCGCCCGACTAACTGGGCTTGACTCAGCTTCTAATTGTTTTCTTTTCTCTTTTTTTAAACTCGACTGAGGTGCGTACCAACATCAGCGCGAGAAATGCAAGGTGGTGTCTTTCGCCTTCGTTTCTCATATCAAGTGTCGTCGTTAAGTGTTGATCTTTTGAGGTCGTGATACCCCATCATTTTACCGAAGAAACTGAAAAGCCACTTGGTAACCCATGTCGCTCACGACGGCGCCTTTTTTTACATTGTTCTTAGCATGCGAAACTATTCATGACTACTTCGCGCTTTGCAAAATCTTTACTTCTAACGAAATTTGAAGCATCGCTAGAGGGTAATCTTGCTTTGGATAAAGTGATTTACATAAAGTCTTTTGCCTGTGTTTCCAAACTCGTTAGCAGACAAGAAAAAGTGATATCAGTAGAAATTCCGTTCATGTTTATCGCACCTCAGAGCTGTCTGAGGGTCTTGGTTATTCAAGAAACAACAATGGCATCACGACTTTCGTACCGTCTTTTATTTTAGTTGGTTGCGGTGAATAACCCACACATATAGCATTCTGAGCTCCACCTGATCCACATTTAGTTTTAATTGGACTTATAGATAGAACTATTGAAACAGACTCTGACTTTCATTCACTGGATGGCCATTAGAACCTTTGCCACCACTGACTCTGAGCCTTAGAAGAGCCTGACAAAGAGCGAAACGATCACTATACAGCACATTACAAGACTTAGGAACACTCTCCAGTTGTGACTAGGCGGAAGCACAGTTACAAATTTTTCAAGAAATTTGTATCGTGGCTTGTGTATGTATGTTGTAACAAACCATTGTTGTTGTTAATGCAGTGTTGTTATAGGGCTGCCTAAATGAATTACCATTGGAAAGCGTTCATTTACTGCCTTTGGTCGGATCTTCACAAAATACTAATACTTATCCTTGGAACAGTCACTGTCTTCTCAGCAGGTGTGTTCAATTAAGTTTCGTATAGCAATTGTACGAATTATCATTTATGTGGAGCAAGGCTGCTTTATGCGAGTGCTTTACGTAGGAACTTATGGTTTCATAATCTAGCTGCTTGGCTGCTCAGATTGTTCATTTTAGCTTCTCCACGGAACCGTTGGTGTTCTGAGGAAGATAGATGCGACAGCTGCACAATCCGTCAAGCTCTCGGGACTAAGTGCGCAAAAGATGATGATGACAAAATCCCTTTTCTATTCTGCAATCCAAGAACGAAGTCAGTATTGTGTAATCCTCAGAAGTAAATCAATGCGTGGTCGTTCAGGCTCATACACTTGTTTCATTGAGAGGACTAACATTTCTCAGTGAGAATTGCGTTGAAAATGACGATCTGACATTTTCTGTGCACTCCACAGGCTTTAGTGGCTCTCAGTACACTACATGTTTGCGCTTTCGCTCATGGAGATAATTTGAGGAATAAGGCAATTATTAAGAGTTTCCGGATGTTAAAAGTACTTTGACCTGGTTTCAGACGTATCGATGTTGACACCTCGTCATATTTGATGTGTTCCGATGGCATCTACAGGCAAAAACTCTGTTCCAACGAAAGTTTGACGCACTTCAGCTCGTCCACACTAAACTGCGTTGATCCAGCTTCGCTCAATTTTCACATCCAAGGCACTTCGGGTAATGTTTTCGAAATGTGGTAAAAAGTGCTTCCTTTTGCAACAAAATGCGTCTGATTTATTACGTATCTGGGGCTTGTTAGGAAGACTCTAAGTGTTATAGAAAGTTGCTATCCTACTAGGGTTCACTTCTCACTATTGATGTCTCTCGAAAGTCATAATTATTGCAACCTGTGCCAGTTGTTTGTAATATTGTCAGTCATCAAGAGACCTGAGTGGATTTTCGTTCATTGTCGTGAGGATGATACGATGACTGAGCCCAGCACGCTCAAGTTACAAGAAGAGTATCTCACTATTACAGCGACATTGTCCCTCATTTTTTAAACATTTCACTAAACAGCAATGTTTGCTAACTATAGAGAAGTCATAGATCTTAGTTGAGCTTTCGAAAAAAAATCTTGTACCTATTCTCAGTATGGACGACCCTGCTATGTGAACAATTGTGATTCGACTAGCAGGTTAGGTGGGAACATCACAACCGCTCGCTAGATAAAGATTTTATTGTTCCAGACGGATAAGTGATGACAAATGAACACTGCTGTTCCTGAGATTGTGATTCCGGCTATGACCTCAGTTTAACTGGGTTCAGTGCCGATTTCCGCTCCTCAAATCAATCACTATGACGGATGATTGCTGATGGCAGAGTTAGGTAGAAAACTAGCTCAGATAAAGGCAAAGCAAGGGCCTCAGTGGTGCTGTGTGTAACACTCGAACCCTCAGAAAAGGAATGGTAGTTCGATCTGGTCTTGAGTCCAAATTATGCGAATACAACAGCATCATTGTGGTTATGTTTCACATCACACCCTACCATGAAAAATTATAGAAGGCAACAAATGAAAGGTTAACACGGTTGCTTCTTTCAAGATTTGAGAGAATTCAAAAGTGAGAGTACACATCCATACATGTAAAAGGCGAAAATGTCTGACCTACAACCTAATAAGATAGTGCGCCTCGGAACCAGTTACCCGCATAGCAAACTCTTAATAAGGACGTTATGCTTCCGAATTGCCATTTGCTATCCTATCCTTGTTTCTCATGAAGGAACATTGCTCTGGTAAACTCAAGATTAGGGTGTGACTCTCTGTACGTTCTTTGGACATTTCTTTCTTCCGGCAATGTTAATGAGTATTTGTACCATTCATTATCTCATGGATATGTCTAAACGGGGCAAACTAGAGTGTTCAGGCTCAGGACGAGTCGGTGATGTTTGCTCGTTCAATACAGACTGTCTCAGCGGTATGTACTGCGTCATCGGGCGTTGCCGATGCCTCTCGACATACATTGCCGTCGATGCGTACTGCTATGAACGTCGGTCTTAACCAGCTGCCACCAATCTTTGTCAGAAAACAACTATAAATTTTTTCGTCACAGGAATCTCACCTTCTGAATCCGGTTGCTTCTACGATGTACAATGCTCGGTGGTTTGGCCAGGAGCGTACTGCAAGAGCGGCCAGTGCCAGTGCCCCAGTGAAGATATGATGCCCATTAAGACAAAGTCAGTGTGCTTTTTGAATATTTTCCAGGTTTGGAACAGATTTTACTTCACTTGGTGACTCAATTCTTTAAACAAAGCCCACCATCCGCGTCGCCGCTCCACAAAGTTCCAAAGCCTCTATCGTTTATTTGCAAGTGTTTTTACTGAACCACAATGATATCACTTAATAACGCCCTCTATCTCGTGTCATAAAATTAACAGACTTTGTGTTTACCAAAACGTCAAAGTAATAGGAGTCGAAACAAGAGCATAGCAAAGCAATAAGGAAGTAGTTGAATAATAATAAAAATAGTTCAATAATAAATGATAAGCATGAACAAGTGCATCGTAGTCATTACTTTTAATGGGTCTACCAAAGAACGTAGTGCTTGATTTTTGAGTAGTATAATTGAAGAGATGGTACGTTTTGTTTGTGGGTGAGTACTGATGAGCCTTCATGTCCACTACCCTCACTTCCGCCACCTGATTCTGCTGCTGCTGCCGTTGTTCTGCCAGCTCCATTGAGTACGATTCATTCTAAATTTTCAAGTTTTTCGACTGCCTCCTTGTTTGTTGCGAAATAGGTCTGATTTAGAAGGGAACACAATGGGCATAGCGAAATGTAATCCATATGCGTCGTCACTGCCCATTAACGACGAGATGCTGCTTGCAGATGCTCACGAACACAAGTGTGCTGTGAGGGGAACGGTAGGTGGTCGCCATTGGTGCTAACGGTCCAGGTGCAGACGACCAGAGCTGCTCTTGGTCAATAGCGGCTTTGAGTCCGCGTTCCTGTCGCTACAAAAGTTGTCGGAAACGACTAGATACGTAACAGAAAGTCGTTCCAGTGCCACAACGAATGAGTCTGCTCATATTTTCAGGTTGATAACCCTATACCAAGAGACGTTTCTGATCTCTACGACTGCATCGACAACAGTGGGTTCTGGAGAACCCAAGGACAAGACACGAGTGCTCATCCGATTGGCGTATGTTGCATGAATAGAGGTAAGACTATTGCTATGCGAAAAACGTTCTATAACTTGCACATAATTAGCACACTTTAAGTTTCCAAATGAATTTCAACATTTTAAACCAGTTTCAAAAATGTTTTATTCTAACTCTTTGTTTGCTATTGGTTTACTGTAATTTCTGCATGATTCGAAAATAACAGATTAAATGAAAAAAACTTGGGTGACCGTATTCCGTTCGTCCATGATTGTTTCCAAGTATTAAACAAATTTTAATATTTTCTGCGTAAGACGCAAATACCGCAGTGTTTTACTTGGATACCTAGGTAGCCCATCCTCATTGCTTTTGTGGAACCCAGCGTAATTTCCATTGCTGGTTTAGCCACTGTGGTTCCTTGAAGTCCCGAAGTCAGCCTAGCCAAAGTGCGCCCCAGGTCGTCACCACCACAAGCAGTCGTCTCCTTAGTGGATCAGAGACAGATTTGCCGCCATCTTACTAATTTGATACCAGGATGGAGTTGGATCCTGGTATTGGTTTAGTTCAGCTGGAGGGGTGCCCTGCAATAGAAGTGGGTTTGATTCTATGCCCTAGCTAAGCAAGCCCCCTTGCCTGAGTGTTCGGAAAATTGCTACTAGACCTGCATGAGAGGGTAGCAGCATTGACTCAATACACCGGTAAGCTACGGTGAGTTGTATAACCCAGTTGTGCGTTCAATCACCTCTAACTATGCTTGATCAAGTGGAGTGCGTGGCGCAAGCTTCAAGGATTGACCCGCGCCAGCAGCTTTGTCCCTTTCCTAGCTGGAATATATTACAATTTATTGGTGGTCGTATTGCCTGGAAATATAACACTATGCATCCGATTCGGAGTGGGGCTTTGTTTCTACTGGTATTTCCAAAGAAGGAACCGTTTGAACATTTTCGTTTGACTCAAACGAGCATAAGCAAATCCTTGCACTTGAAGTTGGCCATTTATAGGCTTAGAATGGTCAATAATCAATATAATCAATCAATGTCAAGCTTTTTTTTTTTCAAAAACAAAGAAACATCAACGGGCATAAAGCACTGCCCACTACGTGCTATTGATTTTGAGAGAGTTGCAAGGAACTTCAGCTTTAGTCGCTTGATCTCGTGTTCCTATATTTTTGAATGATTCTTGTCCAAGCTGGAAATAGCCGATTGTAGCGTTCACCTGCCAGCAGCCAAAGAGGGGCGAGGCGGACGAGCTGGGCGCGGTGCCGAGGTGGTGGTTCAACAGCGTGGTCGGCTCGTGCCAGCAGTTTCTCTTCGATCCATCTTCTACCGATGTCAGTCCGAACAATTTCGAGACTCTTCATCACTGTGAGAGCTTCTGCAGAGACAGTGAGTTCTAGTCATGGATTACTCAGATACTGTTGACAATACTACTGCACCATTTTAGTCTATTAAGACCCATCAGATGAACAAAATTCGCACCCGCACGAGCATGTACATTGGCGACTATTTTTATTTTTCAAATTTTGAATGCACGGTGGCTTCATGGATTTAATGAGATACAGTAAACTCAGATTAAAACAATGAAGAACTACCAGATTTTCGGGAAAAAACTACTTTGGAGAATGTGAGAGCGGAAAGATTATTAGCCAAGATCTGTGGAAAATAGCTCCAATAGTTTTGTTTTAGGGGCGCGTGTGGAGCAGTGGTCGGAGGCTCCCTGCAACACACGTGGAGTAAATCCCCACGCGGCATGGCTCACCAAGCCTTCCATCCTTCCGGGGTTTACAAATTGGTACCAGACTTGTCTTGGGGGGATAGCAACACTGGCTCGATACATCGGTAGGCCACCGCGAGTCATTAAAGGCCAGAAATGCATACTATCACCTCCAACGATGCTTAATGAAGTCGAATGCATGGCACATCCCTCAGGGATTGATCAACGCTAAGAGCTTTATTCTTTTGTTCTTTTACTTTCTTTCTTTGGTAGCACTTGCCCTTCCAAGGAAGGATACGAGAAATTTAAGAAACACTTGGAGCGGTTCGTCTCTTTCGGTCTCTTTCCTCAGGTCTTCCGTTTTGTATTTTGTATCCATGTTATTTATTAAGGTTCTCTCCTCTATATTTTAATCGAAACGCTTTTACATTGCATTTTCTACTAACCTACTTTCTTTTGCTTTGAGTTTCGTAGACGGGGAGTCTAGAATTTTAATGCAGACATAGTAAACTATTCCACCTAGTCTATTAATAGCGAAAGACTAACGAGTATTTGAGGAGTATGATGAACATAGATTGCAGCGTGTTTACGTGGGAATCCGGCTTATGTCTCAATGCGGACCAACGTCGGCCAGGTTCCGCAGGATGGCTGTTCCATGGGCCAACCGTGTTCTGAGCCCTTCAACTGCGTCGATGTCGGCAGCCAAAGCCTCTGCTGCCCGAGTAGGAGTAGGTTACCATTTCTCTATCGCAGCACTAGGACTATCCAGCGGTCATCAAATAATCAAATATTAAATGAAGAATAGTCAAATGAAAGAACTTCGCAAATGTCTCCGCTTCATTGTGGCTATATTTCACATAGTGCCCTGCCATGAAAAAAGGCAATAAATAAGAAGTTATAGATCATCATCGAATACCCGTGTTCCAAAAGTTCAGCTGGTTTTGAAGTAAAACTTGTTTGAAATTGCAGTGCAAATTTTAACAGCATGCCACTGAACTTTAGAAGATTGCTAATGTGGCGCAACACCAAAATGAAAGTGGCTTTCGCACGAAAAACTAAATTATTTTGGATAAGAATCACTTGTTAATAGTAAAACGCAAGTGTCACAAATCAGTTGTGTGCACTGGTATAGGCTGTTCCGAGAAATATCTCTTTTTTCGTTAGATTTTTCTGTGGCGATTGATTTATTGTTGGGTGCGCAGGAGTGACAAGCTTGTGCAATACTGTTTCCAAGTCACTGAACAAGATGCGTTTAAATTGTTGAGCTTACTGTTATGCACTTGGAATTGTTATGGAATTCTGCAGCATGTATTTTCCGGGAAACACTAGTCGTTATCACTGGGCAATCACTGTTATCAACAACCAGTACCCTATACAAAAGAGCGTCGCTTAGTGAGTACGCTTCATTCGAGAGGTGCTCCACTCAGGAAGATCCGACTCGATACGAAGGCAAAGATATCACATCGAGAATACGAGCAACTGTGGGCCATAGACTCGGATCATCGGCTCTGATAGAGACGAAGACGACGAAACTTAACGAGCAAGAGGCTTGTCTCATGGCTCCTACATTTGTAACACTGCCAAAAACCCAGCAAAACCTATTTGCGTCGTTAAAGAGCATACTTTAGTGACGATACGCTATTTTTCATTTACATCGTATTTGAATGAGAGAAAAGCGAACTATAATGGCTAGACCAATTTCACCATTATAATAGTGCAGGAACTAGAAATGTAGAAGAAATATCTTCGACATCCGGAGCACCTGAAACGTTAATAGTTGCCACAAGCCGTTGTCTACCACATTTTCGTAATTGAATCTTTTTCCGTAAAATTTCCGCACCTTCAGAGGTAATCTGCAGCGAAAGCGGAGGACGCGCGAAAGATCCGAACCGTAGTGTCCCCTACGACGCCGGAATGAGCATCGCCCAACTTGCTTACGACGAAGCTAACCACGAAGTTGGCGTCAGCACCAGGTAACATTCCATCTTCAAAATCTTTCTTGAAAGTATTGAGACGAAAGGATCAACGGTTCTCTGCAAATATATTTTTAAAAAGCTGTATAGAAAAGGTGGAATTTAGTAGTACAGGAAATGAAGCCTATGGGCATTATTAACGACAGCGCGAACTTAACAATGTGAGCATTTTGAGGTGCTTAGAAGTCTTATGCAAGATGTAAAGGCATAAGTATTGAAAGGAAAACGTTGATATTTCTGGACGAGTTCTAAATTTCATCTTGTAGTTGAATATCTGGAATACCTTAGTGATTTATATTCAAGAGAAAATGTGTTGTCTCAATTTATACATCGCTGGTGGTTTCCTGGCTTGAAAAGCAATTTTTTCTTGGAGTACGGATATTTCCGTGCTAGTGGTTTTCAGACGGTCACTTAAAGCGGTGGCCGATGGTTGTGAATCAGAGAAAAATCCGATTCCTCACTATTATGTTGCTACCAGGAAGGCAATGACTTCTAGTACTAGTTTACTCTTAATTGAGTTTCCAATTGGAAACGTTGAGTTTTCTCTCAGCTTTTGAATGGATTTCATATATCGTTATTCAATATTCATTCCAGATCCACACAATTGACTTACTAATAGTACACTCAGGGACTAAACCTCCTGTAGTATCGCTTTTTTAAAAAATCATTGGAAGCGTTTTGCGAGCAAATAAGTCCAATGCTGCAGGGAATGTTGCAAGGAACCGTAAGTGTGATGTCTAACTAATTCTTTTCGACCTAAGAATGTAGTGTTGAGGGCAACGCTTTGTCGCTATTACACCTAATGCATTTGGATGCAATTCAGAACAAAGCTTACTAATGTTTGGGTAGAAAGTAATAAAACTGTACTGTTTCTTTTCCCTTTGTTCACCTTATTAAGTGAATTAAACTCAACCGAATAAGTTTAATATTGCTACATATCGAATTATTTTATACGCTACTGATATTGAATGCACTTGCATGGCTTAACTGGTTTGAAGAAGGGAATAATCTTGATCGCGCCAATGACCATGCACTTCTGTTTTCACTTCGTTCTTATTGCTGAAAAAATGATTTAAAATAATTCGTTGAGAGCCAACCCCATTGTTATGTCTGTATTGCGGCCCAGCCGCAATCTCCTAATCAACGTCAGGTACATGGAAGCGGTTTCCTGAAAGTGGGCTGCAAAAACGATTCCAGTCATAGGTACTGAAAACCGTAGTTAGTTTTAGGACAGTTTAGTACTGTTCGCGTTCGACGATCAACTTGCAAAGAGCACGAGCTGTGGCCGCTTAAGAAAGCAAACTACTTGTAAATGTTATTCGGATGCGCTGCTATAACTACCAACTCGACAGACTGAGACAAGGTATGGTCTCGGAAAAAGTTCTTGCGAGTCAGCATTATGAATCTTTTGTAGTTCGTCCGCACCAAGATGGGGAGTTCTTTTAGGGAGTTCGTGAATATAGGTGAGAGCTCGTTGCTCCACATGAACAACATGCGTTAATTTTCTGGCAGGTCATTGGCAAGAACGTGACAGTCCAGCACAGCACAATCCACACGGTTACAAGCTGGTGATGTACACCTTCTAGGACTCCTAGGGATAAAATTCTGGAAGTCGACAACATCTTGTCAGGAAATCTCGTTGACAGGTGAATATCGTTGACTAGGGCGCGTTTGGCGCAATGGTTGGAGGCACCACCGCGACACACGCACGTGGAATCGGTCTCCGCGCCCATGGACCACCAATCCTTCCATCCTTCTGGAGTCGGCAAATAGGTACCAGACTCGTCTAGGAGGATAACAACACTGACCTGACACATCAATAGGCTACCGCGCGTCATTGTAAAGGCCAGATATGCATACAATCACTTCCAACGATACTTAATGAAGTCGAATCCATGGCGCATCCCTCAGGGATTGATCAACGCTGAGAGCTTTATGATTATGCTTTTATCGCTGACAAAGGTTATTTTGTGAAGAGGTGGAATCAAAGTAAATATGTGGTAGAAATGGGCAACGGCTTGTATTGAAACTCGTGTATACAATTACTGCGGCCTTATCAGGCTTTTCTGAGTAGGTTTCCCATATATTCTTCTATTGCGTATGTAAAAATGCAACGTCAAGACAGTCGCGATGTTTAGATACTACTACAACCCGATAGATGGTCAGTGTCATACGTTCACCTACAATGGATTTCTCGGCAATTTCAACAATTTCTACACACAGACCGACTGTCAAATGTTTTGTTCTCGTCGTGAGTTTAGCCAAAAACTTTGAGTCTTCCAATTTTAAGACGACGGTTCAATTTAAGAATACCATAAGACTGTAAAAAGCTGATCATAACACATTGTTTTAGGTGGTCAAAAAATACCACCATTCTCAAATGAATTTGTTCACGGTTCTAATTTTGTAATAGCTAGTATAGAAAATTTCGTCCTTCTTTTTCCTTAATTCATTGAATTGCATTTATCTGCTTTCACTACATCTATTATCTCTAATTATCAAGTGGTTCCTGTGGACGTCAAGAAGGTCTCTACTCATCTCCGGTGTGTAGCAGATCTACTCATTATGTTCCGCTTTCCAAAGGATATAAACAGTATTGTCCTACTGTAACTATTCTTACTTTTCTTGCAAAAGAGTAGCCAGAGGAAGCTTTGTAGACTCTGCTTTTGCGAGACAAGTGGATTAACACAGAATCGGCGTTTCAGTTAGTTCGGTAAAATACGGAGTGGGCCGATGTACCTGCGAATGTATTAGTTAATTCTATGTGTAGATCGACTTCTCACGAACACGGACTTGCATAGTTGCTGAACAGTGAACCTAAAGCTTGCGTAACTAAACCTTCACTTAAGTGTTTGAACCAAGACGAGACAACGAAAATAACAAAGTACGGTATGTACGTGAGGAATAAAGAAAACTTTAGTGGATCAGAGGTGCAGGATTATGAGTACTCACCATACAGAGATGAGTGAGAAGGGTAAGGAAGAAATGCTATCACAAGCTATTGACGACTTCGAAATAATGACTGAAGGCAAATGTCTCTACAGTAAGTGTGACGAATCGTATGCAGTAATTTTAACAGTTGTGCAAATATGGCGTTCAAAGAGATTACAGACACTTTCCAGTTAGCTGCGATACATGAACATGAACCAGTTATTACGAACTCTAGAAATGGTGTTAGTATTTTGACTTTGCGGGAAATCGAACAAATAGCATAGAAAATACACGATAGTTTATAGAAATGGAAAGTGTTTTTACAACGTGGAGGACATTCTCTATATTCCCCACTTGGGTAAAAGTTGCAACATGTTTGTTGCTTTCGAGACAGTGCAGAATAATCCGCAAGCAGAATAAGAGGAATGCATCAACAATTTTAGAGCTAAACACACGTAAGGATAGAGAAGAAAATATTCATTGAAATAAAGGACTTTGCGATAGAGAGCTGTTTCTATAGTCAATTAGTCGAGTTCTCCTGGAGAACTAGTAGAAATATTGGTGGTAGGAAATCGCATGAGGTCCTCATGCGGTTCATACTCAAATGGTTGCATGCACTCGGCCGTCGTAGCAAAGATATGACCATGGATATGCTTGCGACATAATATATATATATATATATACATATATGTATGTTTATCCAGCACAGACAAACAGTTTACCTTTTGAAGTAAGTTTGCCTTGAAGACAAGTAGTGCTCGGTTACTTTTGGTCCATGTTGTCGATCGTTCTACGGAAGCGTCAAGTAACCAAAACATCTCTCTATCTTATGAGCAGGATCGGTGCATCTGCATCTACAGTGACTCATTTCTATGCTTTTAGTTTCTTTTATTCTTAACGAATGCTTTTTAGATTGGGTATAAATTAAAGTAAAACTTCTTGAAATCCACCAAATAGAATTCTTACACATTTGAGTTACTATTTTAATAGATATTTAAAATTCGTCACTCCTTGGAGCCCCAAGGGATCAATTGTACAAAATGATTGCCTCCTTTCAAATGCGTGTTCTTAAAATCCTCCCATAGGTAAGCTAGCTTGAATAATGGTTTAAATCGTACCATTTACACATAGAATTTTATGTCGCGTTTACAAACTGGTTAGAGATGCCCAAAAACACACATTCCATCAGTCGCTGATTCGATCCGAAGCTCTAGGCTCCTCAAGCCTTTTATCCTTCCAGGCTGAAAAAAATTGGGCCAGAAATCCCTGTACCGATGAAAACAACTACTAAGTATAGATCACCGCAAGCTACTGTATAGGCCAGACTCCTTGCATCATCCCCATAATTCATGGCGCATCTCTCTGCGATAGATGATGCTGAAAGCTTTATCATCTATCCTTTAACCTATGAATCGCAAATGCAATGGTTATATTTCTTGCATACCGTTTGTAATATTTTTTTATATCGTTCGTAGTTTTTCTCTTCAGTGCAATGCACTCACGGAAATCCTCTCACCATTGGGCACAGTATTCCACAACGGTGCGATCGAGATGGTGATTGTCCATCCACACACAGGTGCAGCCTTGAATATGGAGTGTGTTGTCCGTCACCACGTGAGCTCCTTCCAAAGATCTTGTTGCTTCTTTGACCTCTAACTAATTTTGTTATGTTGACGTTCTAAAAATATGTCACTACGTAATTTGTAAGATTGTTAGGTAGAAGAAATCACCTAGAGTTGTGCGAATGCGTCTTTACCATCTATAGAGATTTAACGTCTGACATCTTCAGACATTTAGAGAGGAACCATTTAAGTCTCATAACGAGTTTTCTTTCAATGATAAATAATAGGCATTATTATATTTAGAAACACTGTGTACTGAGCCACTTCGTGTTGGTGACTGCAAGCAATCCATCAGACAGTTCTGGTGAGCATCTAGTAACTGAGAATACGGTAAAACTACACATTTATACCCTTCAGAGGTATACTGAGGAAAAAACTTCCTGATTGGCATACTTTCTACACTGATGCAGCGAATGTGTGTTGTCGGTCGAATTAAGTAAACACATTGATAATGCTAACCATATCAAATTTTTGAGAGAAAATTTTAGAACGTATGAGAGACTACGTAGGCTAAATGAACAGCGCTGAGAAATCCACGTTGAACACTTGTAGGTACAATGCAGAAACGCGTTCTTGCGAAAGTTTCTTTTACACCGGATGCCAGGGAAACAACAATCGATTCGACAGCTTGAATGAGTGTCAAAGTTATTGTGCGAACATCAGTGGTTAGTTCACTTCATCGCAACTATTCAAGAATCTCAACTCCTTTCCTACCTTGATTTATCCCTTTTTATTCATAGAAACGCTCGAACTACTGATTTGACATCGATGCAACTATTCAAATCCATAAAATATTTTATGGCACTGATATTTTAGTCCGGGAACACTATTTCCTGCTATCCATCGGGCATCATCTTCTCTAATTTACCTACGCATATAAACGGTTTATCAAAGTCTTCTTGAAAAACAAAGACCAGAAAAGAGCTTGAAGTATTTCTACTGAAAAACTGTTTAGTTGAACATGTGAGTCGTATTCTAGCGGAGCCACGGTGTCCACAAGGAAGAGCTTATGCTGATCACACCGGAAAATTCCAGCATTGTGGCGATGGTCACGGCATGCCAGCCAACTGTCCGGCGAATTACGAATGCCATTTCGACGGTTTCATTCGTGGATGCTGCCCTAGCAAAGGTGAGCATCAGTCAGATACGCAAGTTAAACAAAAAAGTCGTGCTATGAAAGACGAACTTTTCTATCATCTAAACTCAAGCATCAAAATCGAAATCCAGCTCTAGAGCTTCGCACATTTCTGAATAATTGTGAGCTCCATTGATCTGTCGCAATTTCTTTCTACGATAGGTCGACGTTTTCTGTCTATGTTAATGTTTTAGTATTCACCTGCTCACTTCAGCTGAGCAAAGGAATCGCTTGTGGGTCCGGGTCCAGCTATCGCTATTACTACAATAATAAGTTGAAGGTTGTTGAGATTATGAAGTATTGCCCATTTATAACTCACTTCTTGAAGCAAAAAATGCTAGTTACACATTAAAAGAGGTAACAGCATAGATTAGCAGGTCAGTGAAATCAAGACTTCAAGTAATGGGGAATAATTTAGGAATGCCAGCCGTTCCTTTTCTACGGGTGCGATGGAAATTCGAACAACTTTCCGTCAGTCGAGAAGTGTCAAAGTTACTGCGAAGTTGCAGGTGCGGCAGGTCTTTGAAATTCTGTTGATTTTTCTTCAGCATCATTGTCAAATTAAAGCTTTTCTTAACTCAATAAATTTTTACAAGAGCGAAGATACCAGGAAGCCAATTTACCAGCACTTCCTCAACGTTATTCATTTTCTCATTATTCAAAATCTTAACATTTCCATCTTATGTATTCTTTCTTTGATGAGCTTACACGAGGTTGATAATGTTGTTTATTTTCGGCTAACGTTTCGACTTCTTCGTCTTCCTCAGAGCCGATGATCCGAGTCGATGGTCCTCGCTTGTTATTCGTCTCGGCGTGGCAGCTTCGCCTTCGTGTCGAGTCAGGTCATCTTCAGTGAGCCATCTCCTCGAATGAGGCATCCTTACTCAGTGATGACCTTTTATACACGATGCTGATGGTGGATATAATGATAATGTTCGGTGATAACAACTTGTTTCTCTTCCGGACATAATCATCGCGCACATCGTGCAGAAGTCGGTGTTGTTATCAGCTAGCACAAAGCGTAGTAATATTTTAATATTTATATTTATATTTATTTATATATTTTTTTAAATATTTATTTATATGGTCACTGAAGGAGACCTGACTCGACACGAAGGCGAAGCTGCCACGTCGAGACGAATAACAAGCGAGGACCATCGACTCAGATCATCGGCTCTGAGGAAAACGAAGACGTCGAAACGCTAGCCGAAAATAAACATCATTATCAACCTCGTGTAAGCTCATCAAAGAAAGAATACATATTGATTAGTGATACCGAGGCTCAAGGAAAGTCGGTTTCGAAATATTTCCATCTTAGTTCTTCTACACACTTAGTTTTCCTTACTTTGGTAATGTTCCGAAGACACGTTTGGCCAAAAAATGTAGGTAAATTCCTTCTCCTTTCTATTTTGTCTTTTTTTTTTGTTTAAATTGCCCCACTGACAAAAATGAGCCTATTTTGATGACAAAGGTCAGAATAGCTCAACGAAAAGCAAATGAAGATTTTCCACAAACGTTAACAACTCCGCTCAACAATATTTCACAAACCGACTTTCCTTTAACCTTGGTATAACTTGGGCGGGTGTGGTGCAGGGGTCGGAAGCGCCCTACAACACACCCGTGCAATCGATCACCGCGTCCATGGCCCACCAAGCCTTCCATCCGTCCGGGGTCGGCAAATTGGTACCAGGCTTGTCTGGGAGGGTAGCAACACTGGCTCGATGCATCGGTACGGGACCGCGAGTCACGGTAAAGGTCAGATATGTGTTCAATCGCCTCCAAACGATGTTTAATGAAGTCGAATGCATGGCGCATCCTCAGGGATTGAACAATGCCGAGAGCTTTATCATTTTTCGTAGTATGACTAGTCAACATGTATTCTTCCATTGATGAGCTTACACGAAGTTGATAAATAGCTTTATTCGGCTAACGCTTAGACTTCTATCTTACTCAGATCCAATGATCCGAGGCGACGGTCCACAGTTTTCGCCGTCTCGATTTGTGGTGTCTTCGTCGTCGTATTGAATCGCTCGATTCGAGCGGCACTCCGCTGAAGAGTATCCAACTTGATACAACGACGAAGACACCACATAGAGAGTACGAATGACTGTGCACATTGACTCGGATCATCGGCTCTGAGAAAGACAAAGATGTCGAAACATCAGCCAAACGCAACCTTATTCAACAAAGTCGTGTCAGCTTATTATTAAAAGAATACATTTTAAGCACTCCGTTTACCGGAATCGCATAATATAGCGGCGTGCGTCAACCATGCTTTAAATGCGTAATTTTAAATTTCACGCCTCTCGAAAGTGGTGACGTTTCAAGTTCCTTGTCAAAAACTATGCTTTCTCTGACAGTGTACAATTCATATGCATCGGGAAATGTTGCACCTATGAATACACGCCAACCGCCTGGTGACCTGGTGATATTCTCTTCTCTACATGAGATTTCTGGGAGTGGTCATGTCTATTCTGTCACATTCTCCAATGTTTTGCTCTGTTACAGTGTGCCCACACGGAGGATCCCCACTGAGGGGAGGGTCGACGATGCGCTCGTGTTCCACTGCCGATCCGTGTCCGAGTGGATATGAATGCAATCGGCTGGACTCGAATGGAGCCATTAACAAGCGATGCTGTCCCACGAAAAGTCAGGTGTTTTCCTTGCTGTTTTCTTTCCTTCATCACAGACTCATTATGAAGTAAAGTTCACTTTAAGTACCATACTCGACCGCGTTATTCGTGTCCGCTCAAAAAATCCTGTTAAAAACAAACCTCGTATCATGTTTTTTATGATTTGTCATTTTATGCTGTGTGCCATGAGTTAGTCATACTACTTCTGCTCCACGTCCAGATGATATTTGCAATCTACTAACGCCTACAATAGAATATTTCGTGCCACCCATCTCCTCCTCCCTATTCCGCAACTTGCTTCAGCCTCTTTATCCTTCATTTTATTCTGTAGTCGAAATTAGGCAAAATGCGGAAGTTTTCAAGAACTCGGGCTCGAATCGACCGCATTGCGCAAAATTGCGAAAAAATCACTTATTCATAGTTTTTGTTTTTATTGACTTATTACACTTTTTATAGCGTACATCTGTTCGAAGCCACCACAGATTGGAAAGCTAACGAACTGCGGCGGTGGAAATAACCAAACAAGGTGAATTCCCATTAGCCTAGCTACTACTTCCTAAGAAGGATTAGTAGTATTTGCCAAGGCTTCTTTCTCCAATCTATTTATCAATTTAATTCCCTTGCTTGTGTGATTATATAATGACCCAATATGGACTATTTAAAGAAATCCACGTATGGAGTGGTTGCGTGGTGCATGAAGAACTTGGGAATTTGCCGTATTCTCATAGAGAAATCGTTTCTTCTTTGAGTCATTGGGTTTAAAAGATCTCGCTGCTTTAGAAATCATTTTTTCATGCAGGTTCTACTTCAATGTCGTGCTACGAAACTGCTCGCCGTACTCGTCGAATGGCTGCGACACATCGTTGAATTCATTCAAGACTCGAGTAGAATGCGAAAATTTCTGTTTTAGCGCAAACTGCAATCCTGGTGACACTATTTACAGGGTGAGTAGCCCCATCAACGTTCATAACGTTGAGAGGATTTCTGTGTTAATTCTTTGTTCAAAATACGGCAACGTACCTCTCCTAATATCAACATTGTCTTACCAATAGTCCTTGTTTAAGCGAGCGCGAGGACGGTATCTCTTCTTTTTCAAGTACAATGGCTGACGCTTCAACGATTAACTTCCTGAGCATAGACCTACCACAATATGCCATACCATAGTTTATTATCCCCTTGATATTTTCTAACCCTAATAAAAACCTAGTTCAATAACCAATCTAAAAATCTACCCATTACGGGAAGCTCATCGTCCAACTCACTAGACGGAATATGAATGCGTCGTTTTCTTGTTCAGCAATCGCGAGGTTTTTAAACTGCATGCATTTACTTCCATAGAGAAACACAATACAATACAACACTGGCTGAGGTTTCGGCAGTATCGCCTTCTTCAGAGCCTGGAAGGGAAACAATCTACTAGGCCAATCGCTTCAATAACACTTACAAAAAGACGAAAAACTCTTCGGTAATTACATGATCAACAGCTTTTCGAAAAACTCACTGCTTTTTACGTAACTTCCACTGAGGAAGTTTAGAACAGCTGATTATAGTCGCATATGGTTGATGACTGCACCATCCCACGTCAGAAATTGATACGAACATACGGAGTCAGGTTGCGTATGAGCTCTGGGCATTCCTCCCTGCTATTCATTGTAGGGTTTTTGGCATTTAACCAAAAAGTCTCAAGAAGTTTTCGCGCTGGTGTTTTGGACTCCTGTGCAAGGATATTAACTTTTACTTCAAAATCGTCTCCGCTATGCTTTTGTATCCTATGCGTGCCTAGTGGGGTGCTTCGTCTTGTTTTCGTTTGCCATCTAGGTGTTCTTTTACACGGTTACACAAAAGTATGCCCGTTTCGCCAATATATTCATCTCCGTAATTGTTTCAAGAGATCAGCTATATCGTAGCTGAACGCATGCAATCACCGTCCCTGCCGTAAGGGCAAATTACGCAATTTGTTGTTTCACACAGGAGGTCATACAGGCGGTTGCGAACTAATTGGCGACGTAGAGTAGCCGGTGGTATTTCAACTATCGCTACCGATTCCACTAGACTTGCCTTTCTTAAGCATCGTTTTATAGCTGCGCTTACTTCATCGCTTATAAAAGGCAACATAAACGGGATTTTGTTTTGGCCAAGTGTTTCGCGTGGGCGCGTCGTTCTCCTTGTAAACTTATCTCGTGGGGTTACTATTTCGTAGCCATTGGAGATAGCTATTTGCCGAGCCAAGTCGCGCGATTCTTCCTTTAGTTCCCCGGTA